CTCAAGCCCCTTCAGTCTGAATCCTCAGCGATCACTGATACAAGATAACACTTTAGGATCAATTCTCATTCCTAAAGCAATCCAATCTCACTTATGTACCAAGATTTTCAATTAGTGTGCCCTAATCCATTTTCATGTTTCAAATTCCATTCCAAGGGTTTTAATATCAAATCAGGGATTAAAGATGTTAATCCTTTCATCTCAAGTCCCCAAATAAAGCTAATTTGGGTTCTCCCCAAAACAGGGGTCAAAACAACACTTTTCAAGCCAAACAGGGTCAAACTCGTGTCCACCGGTCAACCGGTGACAGAGCAGTACAACACTACCGGTCGACCGGTAATGTGCACACCGATCGACCGGACCGGTCGACCGGTCAGCCTGCAATCCGGTCGACCGGTGGAATCGACTGCGCGAGAGAAGCTCACGGAAATCAGTCCAAAAACCTGCAAATCCAGTCCCAAATCCAAATATTTCAAAGGGAAACCACTAGATCCGGGTTCTAGGTCCTAAAACAAGTCCAAAGAACCCAAGATCTCCAATTTCTACTCTAGTTTTACTCAAAATCATCAAAAATCCGGTTTGAACCAAAATAAGTTTTGAAATCCGAAAAACATAGATTCAAGAGAGGTTCTTTCAGTAATCTTACCTCGAATCCTTCTCTTGACGTTGAAAACTCTTTGAAATCACTCTTGGTTCGAATCTGGTTTTGATTTGAGACACAAATGGGAGAGAGAGAGAGGGAGAGAGAGAGCACGGAAGAGAGAGAGAGAGAGAGAGAGTGAATGCACGGGAAGGAAAAGAAAAGGAAAAGAAAAAGAAGAAAAGGAAAGAAAATACATATGGCAAAATATTTAAAATGACAGTCCAGAAATGCGCCCATACACACTTCTGGTTTAAAAATAAAATTACTCAGAATATTTAAATACCTTGAAATTATTTAAATTTACACATGTCAGAAATATTTATTTATTAATAATCAATTAATAAATTCAGATTGGGCACACTAATAATCTCAATTAATTCTTCAGGGTGTTACAATAAATGAGTCACGTGGATTAAATTTGTACCAATAGATTTGAACTAAATGGAAAGAGACTAATTGCTAACCATTAGTTCGTTTCAATTAAAGGTTATAGTCCAAAAGTCATCTCCTCTTCTATATAAATTATAGATATGCACTGTCACATTGGAATAGGGTGCTTTTAAAGCAATTAATGTAATTTTTATTTTGACTATTTGACATTATTTTAAATAAATTTAAACATTTTGTTTATAAAGCTTGGCATTTAGTAGACATAATACTATGTGTAGCTAAGATATTCATTCACCGATATGAAATCGATAATTTCGTAATGACATGTAGTGTTAATTTGAATAATTAGTTGAAAGAGTAATCGAGCATACTCGATAGTAAAGATCAAATCGATAACCCAAATTCTCATAAATAATTTGTTCATAAATAGGTCATCCATTAAAGTATTAACATCACTTATGGAAAGAAAAGTAAATAGAGATGTTCAATGGAACCATTACCTAACTCTAATTATGGAGGTTTATATTGGAACGTCAATCAACTATCATATTAGTGGACAAAGCACATTACTTATCGTATGTATATTTGTATAATTTTAGGTCCGTTTAGTTCGTTGATTTAAATTTTTAATTTGAGTTTATATGTGACTTTATGCAAGAGTTTTTTATTGTAGTAAAAAAGTTATATGTGACTGTTTATGAGAATTTTTTACTGTAACAAAACTCAAATCGGTAATATGAACAGGACCTTAGAGTGTATCTTTGATTTTTAATAGTGGCACTAACCAAAGTTAATAATGATATTTAATTGATTAAAAAACTTTGATCAAATTAAATATTAGTTATTGCAGCTTCGATTATGTAGATATATTTGGTCTCTTTACTATCTACATAAAAAGGACTTATATTAAGAAATAAATAAACATTAAAGTAATAAATAATAATAATAAATAAAAGGAAAATTTTATGGTAGGGGACAGGTGCTTGTCCCTATCAATAGGGTATGATCCATGAGTACTTTGTGGTTAGATTTTATGTGGGACCCATTAAAATAGTAAAATATCTTGCAATACAAAACAGATTAGAGTTACGTACATTTTACCGAGTTTAGAATTTAAATTTTATTATAGTAAGTAAAAGATTCTTAAAACGGTCACATTTAATTTTTTTATTACAGTTAAAACTCTTGTAAAAAATAATATTTTAACTCAAATTAAAATTTTAAATCATTAAACTAAATAACTTCTAAAAAATCTGATTAATGTTGCTTTTTAAACGGAGTTTGCCACAGTGTTGCACTGTTGCAACTAGCAGATTCTTGATGTGGATAATGGACGTAGGTTACAGAGTTCCACAGGTCGCGTGGCTACACGAGATATTGTGCAGTTCGTTCCCATGCGAGAAGTGCACAGTGAGTTCATTTGCTAAATCAACCTTAAAATGTTTCCTTACTGAAATGTTCTTGTATTTATTTTATAATGACTCGTTCGTTTTATTAATTTAAATTTTTAAATTAAATTAAAAAATATATTTATATAAAAAAAATACTGTGAGATAAAAACTTAAATTTAAACTTTTTAAAGAAAAAATAAAACAATAAATATTTAAGTCGTGATTCGAAACTTTTAAAGTAGAATGATGTCTTCTAACTCAACCAAAGGAAAAAGAAATCATGGGTTGAAGCTTTTCGTGCAAAGCAAGAAAACTTTTTCTTTTATTTTTTTTTTTTTTGGGAGAGTCTCCTTTTATTATTGTTTATGCACATGAAAAGTAAATTCATTTGTGATTGTTAATAGGTGGACAAATACCCGTTGTTCAAGCACTTCTAGAAGAGCTGCCTGGGCAATTTTTGAGTTACGTTCGGAGTAGAGATATGAAGCCCTGCAACTTCAATGCATCCTAAACATCTGCCTAATTAGTTGTTTTGTTGATTTCCGAACAATCCTCAACCTCGAAGATATTGAATGCTCAAATAGCATTTAACTGTACATCAGTCAAAAGTCTAATCTCAACTTTATATTTACAATATTACTGATCACATTAATGTTTCTTACCATACAAGCCTCCAAATGTTTTCCTTTCTACTATTACTATTAACAGTGTGTTTGGTATGAATAAAAAATTGAAGGAAAGCAAATGTGGAGGAATTTTGAGATGAAAATTAGAAAGTTAGTTTGTTTGGTAGAAAGAAAATTGTAAAAGAAAAGAAAATTGAATAGAAATTTTTATTAGTGGATCCCACAATATTCAATCCCTTTAAAAATATGTGAATTTTATGAAGGAAAATATGAATAACTACACAAATGAAGTTAAATTATTGAATTATCCTCATTTAGGCAAAAAAGTAATTACACTAATAATAATTTTTCTATCCATTTAGTATCACTTCTAATACCAAACAATAGAAGTTAGATTCATTTTTTTTTCTTCCTTATCATACCAAACAAATAAAAAAAAAATCAAAATTTTTTCTATCATTTTAATTTTTTATGCATTATAATTTTTATTTTCCTTTTATTTTCTTTCCTTCTTCCAGTGAAGAAAATTCTATGTCAAAGGCACGTTGTTTTGTCCGTCAATAGGGTACATTTTTATCTTTTAGGCACTTAATTTAGAATTTCAATAATTTGACTTTTAAGTGAACACCCGTAAATCAAACCACGTAAATTTAATTAAATTCTTTTTTTGGTTAACGTGGGCGTTTGGCAGATTCGTTCCTGATTTGAATCATGATTCGTAATTTGTTACAGTATTTTTTCTTATAAAAAATACACGTAAATTGAAAATGGTTCGAATCATGACGGCGCGATCTGGTTGACATCTCGCCATCTGCGAGAGAAAGCTTGACATCTCTGCTCGTCGCGACGGCGCGATCTGGTTCGCCGTCTCACCATCTCCGAGGGAGAAGCTCGCCGTCTCCATCGCCAATCCTCGCGACAGTTACATAGTCGCTGGTGCATCAGTGACGGCAGCGCGAGTTGGTCCAACGGAGTTCGGCCGGCGCCGGCGATGTGTGTGAGAGAGAGTTCAATGGAGAGCCAGAGAGAGGAACGGAGTTGTTGCAGACGAGATAAGAGTGAACAGGGGAGAGAGAGACGTGTGGCGGCTTGTTGTGAGGGAGTGAGAAACAAAAAAGAAAAACCCCAACAGTAAGTAAATTGGGAAATGAATAATTTCTTTGAGAATGTAACAAAAATATACTATAATTTACCAAGTTTTATAAACATATGTTGTTTACTTCAAAAGTGGTATTAAAAATGCTATTTAGTGCATTTTTTAAAAAGTAAATTACTGAAAAGATTTAATTTTTAATTTTCAGATATATATTAAAAATTATCTTTTTTACATATATTTTAATTTAATTTGACTTTAATTAGATTCAATGATTAAAAAGAATAATATAGTTACATCATTAGGAGAATATCCAAGGTCTCCTCTAAAATAAGGAATGAATTACTCTTAGAATTGTTGAGATGTTTTGCCACAAACCAACAGCTTTTCATAAGAGTGCTTATAAGAACACACGACTTTTTAACACACTTAAGCCGTGAGGGAAGAGATGATGCACGGGCAAATTCCACCGTCGGAAGTTAGCGTGCTAGTGGAAATGACCCTACTTTTCATTCTCGTCCACCACTATCTTGTCGTTTTCTGTTTTTTTGCCTTTTCCGAATCTTTGTCGTTTGTTTCCAATTGCCGTTTTCCTTTTCAAGTCCGTTTTATGTTTTATTGTCGTAACGACAACAAAAATTGATAGCGACAAAAAATTTAAAACGTTGAAATTAACTAGAAACCCGAACAAGAGAGGAAGGTGAGATATTGATCAGCTGATGGGTCTTTTCCTCTCTAGGGAGAGATGATCAAAGAATGCAAAAGAAATGAAAAAGTTAATTAATAGTTTAAAAATAATAGAAAGAGGCAAAATTGTGATACACCGTAGTTGCTGAGTTTTTGTTTGACTGGTTTTTCAATCAAAGAAATGAATAATATTACAGTACTTGTGGGGATCTAGTAAGATGAGAATCCACAAAATGAGAGGGGAAAAATTCTCACAAATGCTAATGTCAAGTGTATGGGTATCTGTATCTAACATCCGCAGCCTCCAATTCTGAAGAGTGTAATCAGCAAACGGCTATAAAAAGCATCCAACTTATGCTTGATACATGTCCACTTTACAAATCAAGAATTGCAAGAATAAGCTACAATGGCCGCTGAATGGTGGGAAGAAACTACTCCGAGTAAACTAAAATTATCGATAGCAATCTCAACCATGCTTCAGTTTGGTCCGTGAAAACGACGATCTACTTGAAAATGGAAAAATTATCTCGCAGAGGTTCCTTAAAAATCCTCGATCATAGACGTTATTTTTAACAACGACCTCAGCGTCTTCAAGTGGGGATCTCCGAAAGAAGGATCTCCATTTGCTCTCTGAAGGCTTTCTTTCACTATTCATCTCACTGATGCTTGCTTTGAGGGCCGCAGCACTTGCCTTTGCTTCATTTATCTTCTTCTTCAAACTTATATAGTCTTGCCACTTGAAAGTCTGGTTCCCAAAAGGATTAAAAAAAAATGCATGAGGCAACAGTGAATTCTATTGTTTCAGTAATACCTTTATGCAAAATGGCTGGAATTCCAACTACATCACCACATAACACATGGAATCCTAATAGTTTTTTGACAGTAAATTATATTTGTAAAACAGCAAATCCACTTTGTATTAGTAGGCTTAACAGAGCAGAAAAGAAGCAAAAAACGCATATAATCCTCATCACAAACGAGAATTCTCCTAACTCATATCTTAGTTAGAATATGGATATGTCTCCAAGAGTGCCTCACGCCCAGCAAAACAAGAGAGAGCCAAAACAAAGATCTGATTTTTGCAGTTTAAAGGTAAAGGAAGAAGCGAGAAACAGCGATGGAGTTTTCTGCAGGTATCATGTTTTGAGGAATTTTACATTTATTTCTTTGTCTATGAGTATTGAGTAGTGAGTTTTCTTGGCCTCGTTGAAAAAAATAGCGACTAGATTTGGTTCAGTGAGAAATATGCATCTAATGGCAACAAACATCTAAAGTCTAAAACATTACTTTATATGATAGCCATCTCTCTATTGTGACTGTAAGAATAAATCGTTCAGCAAAATCAAGGGTAGGAATCAGACCTCGTTAGTGGTTGTATTCGTGAGACAGAGTTGGGCATGGTAAACAAAGAAACCCGCCAATAGCAACGAAACAATTGCTAGAAACACCATGAGAAGAATTTGTGTGTTGTAGGCATCCAGTAACCACTGTCACAAACAGAGAAAAAGTAAGAGTAAGCAAATGAAAAGAGGAAACAAATACAATGACATGCCTAATAAGGTCAGCAATAATAGTAGAATCAAAACACATCTAGCAGAGCCCATCAACCATGCAAACAAAAAGAAATTACGCATAACAAACACTACTGCCTTATTGTTCAACAATCATTTATTCAGTATACTTCCAAATTGCTTTTCCAGCATTTTAGAGAACAATCAAATGAAAAGAAGAAGAAATGAACTTTTATCAAAATTTGGGAGCTAAAAAGACTGTCCATTTTAGCTCAGTTGTGACAAGGGCAACCCAGCACTATAGAAAATAACTGTTTACAAATGGATTCCATCAAAAGAGTTCCAGATATGCAAGAAGTGATGCACCTGTACAACATGTGGAGCTAAACCACGGAAAGAATTTTCTACACCATAGTAAACTGCAACAAGGAAAGGAAATGTTAGATTTAGGCCCAAATGCAACTAGCCTTCAACTAGGTCTCGCCATCAATTTACCAGTTAGGATATATACAACTTTTAGTTCTTTTGCTCGACCCACAAGAACAAACCCGAGGGCAACTGCTCCATACAAGCAAATAAGGAAGTGCCTGAAAAGACACGTAAGAGGACATAAAGAAAATGAGGAGCAGAGTAGCAGCACGCCTCTCATTGCAAATAAATTTCAATAGCCTCAGATATAAAGCTATATTAGAAATAAGACAGAAGCATGGAACAACATAGATAATGCCCATTCATTGTTTGGATATTTATATCTGAGAAGATCTTGATCCAAAAATTAAATAAAAAATTAGGAGCATCTCTAGTATACCCCACCAACTAAAAGAAGAGAATAATTGACGCAGCATACAAACTAAACAGCTAATAAGCACTAGATATTTTCCCCCTTGATTTCACAACTTCACACAAGAAGATCAGATGCACATAATTTCAAAGAGAGCAATACACTAAAACTTTATATGACCTGCCAATCTCATCGTGAACCGTCAAAAACTAATTTTTCATCACAGTCCACTATCGTATAAGAAGAAAATGCACCCTAGGTACATATAATTTGCGCACCATGGGTGACGGAGAACAGAAAGAACCATTGAAAATAGATACAGATAACTGCACAGATGCCAATATACAAACTAAAGACAATTACAAACGTGTTGTATTCATATCTCTTTAAGGCATAACTCATCTGATGCTACATCATAGGTCACTCACCATAGAAGAAAAGCCATGAAGTAACGAGTGTTCCTCTCGCCAATACAATTATTCTGCAACAATGAGACCCTTTTAGTAGAATGCAAAGCATAAAACTTGATAAGCACCAATATGAGATTGAGATCAAAGAAGAAAAAATTAGTTTTGAGAGATTTCAGACCATCCATCCACAATGATGGTCAAAGCGAGCAACACAGCGATCACATATGCTGCAGTGCTTGGATCTAGCCGGTCTGAACCACAGAAGAAAAGAATAAAGAGGAAAATCAATATCCTTAACACTTAGAATTCAAAACAAAAACACTTCTAGCAAGTGCACCACCAAAGGTGAAAAACACTAACTTTGGAATTTTGCAAGTAGAACACTCTTTCTGGGAATATAAAATGTTATCATAGGGATAAGCAGAGAGATACTGAGAAACATTCTCAGCCTTAATTATTCCGGGATCTGAAAAACTAGTTAAGAGAAAGAGCAAGACACCAACAGCAACAACCAACACGCTTGTATACCTGCAGAAAACACCATAATCTCTAAGAAAATTCATCAAAAATTTTCTTTCTTTCACCAAAAAAAAAAAAAAAAAAAAACGTGCGCACACACATTAAAGGGCAAATATAAATATTTACTCCTTGACAAGTACCGGTGAACTTCGCTAAGATAATAGCCAGGAATGTAGCTGAAGGAAGACTTTGCAGTAAAGTAAAAGGTTCCCCCAAGAATTGCAAGGTATATTACCTACAATGATTAATAATCACCATGTTCATTGTTAACCATTAATCCAAAATTAAAATAAAACAAAGGACAAAGATATTCTACTATCCAATTCCAAGACTATAAAAGAGGCATTATTTTTAATTTAACCAAAGATGAATACACTCTTAAGCTTTCAATTCACTCAACCCAAAGTTTTTAACTTTACCCCCTCAAGAACCCTTCAAGACCTTCAAAATTTGCGACCTTTAAAATCTTACAAATCACGTATAGTTATACCAATTTCCATTCCCACCAACAAAAACAAAATCAAACGAAGAATACCCATTATCGAAAGCAAAAACAAAAATCAAAATTCAATAGAATTCCGTTTCTCAGCAAACCTGAAGAATTGGATTGGGTCGGTCGCAGCAGAAATTCTCGACGGACAGTATCGCGTTAGTGCCCTTCGTCCCAAACACAAACCCTACAAACCGCCTGCCCAGAAAAAAAAAATCAGAAACAGTGAGAGAAACAGAGAGAGATAGAGAGAGAATGAGAGAAGGTGCACAGGAAGTAATCGTAGGCGCCGAAGGTGAGAAAGTGGTGGATTCGTTGAATTGGAGTGCCATTGAAGATGGGCCAATGCCCACAGAGGAAGGAGATCACCACCACCAGCGTCGCCACTCCATGGCACACAAGAACCCACTGTACGCCCATCCTCGAACCTATCAAATCTATCCTCAAGAAGTTTTTTTTTTTTTTGGTGGTGTTTTGGTCGGAGCTCTGAGTCAGAGACGGCCCTCTGTTTTGTCCTTTGATGCTTTGACTAACTTCTCACTTGTAGAACAGTGCAAACGACAAACCGTTAACTTTCTTTTCTTTTTTTCTTTTTTTTTTTTTGTCTTTTCTTATTTATCATCGTTTTACTTTATAAGAGATAATTTAATACGTCTTCGTTAAGTTTTTCTAATGTTAAATCTGCATATTTTTTAATCGGTGTGAATAATTTTGACCGGTATTTAACACACTTCATAAGATAGTGAGTTGTTAACTCATCAAAAATTCACAAGGCCGAAGCTATTTAGACATCTACAAACATCTCATAAATAAAAGTATAGGAATGTCACTTAATGTAACAAAAGAAAAATGTTACAGAACTTGAAGTTTGGGCATTAATATTAACAAGCTATACTATCTGCAGCGGCTAGATATCTGCACTGTCAATGGCGTCCTCAATGGTCTCAATGCAAGATCCTACAGATTTCCCTGCTGTCATCGCCTCCGCAAGTTTAGCTCGTGCCACTTTGTGGCGACGCAAGATCAAGATTGTGTTTAGTACTGACCATCTCACTTGAGAATCTGCTTTCTTCTGTGTGAATCCCAAGCTTCTGAGCAATATGTCCAACTGTCTCACAAATACAGGTGTTTACATTCACTTTCTGATCAGCAAAACTCTTGGCTGCAAATAATGGTTTGGAAAAATCGAGTGAATTTGAAAGCCAAACCTTGTTTATATCAGCAAGACCTCCCTCGGCGTATCCGTACAGAAGATACTCAGTCGCCACTCCAGCTAGCGCTATGCATGAGAATCTGTTCAGCGTCTGGTAACACACATTCATCAATTATTGTTATTCTCTCTGCCAAAAACGACATGCAATCTGATATGTTTGGATGCAGCAAGTTTAAGAGGTGAGAGGTAGATAACATACTGTTGCTGATACTTTTCCTCCATTGACCTGCATTATAGAATTGGTCAATACTCAAAATGACTATAAATAGCATTAGGTATTGAAAAGTTGAAATCAAACACGAGAATCTAGCTTTTTTGATATGCATAAGAATAGTGCAAGAACCAATTTTTCATTTAGTAGCAGATGAAGTGGGAAAAAGTGCATACTTCTTCAAGAAACTCGAAGTCCACAAACGATGTCCCTGCTTGAACATTGAGAGATCCTTCCTTCTGCAAAGCTTCCAAACTAGATAGCGTGTAGCCCCTGGGTAGAATTCCCACCAAGTAGGCAATTAGAAAATGCCCTGCTTCATGCTGCACATTATTTGTTTGATTAGTACCTCCTTATTACTTTATAAACTTTAAGGTTTTCAGAACTCCTAGTAGTGAAAAATAAAAGTCAGTTTTATCAATCATTTTCATACGAGGCGAAAATAGATAAAAATGAAAGTCATTTGCACTTTGAGTGGGAGAGAAAGAGAGAGATCTTGCCTGAATGACTCTGTTGTGGTACTTCTGACTGAAGGTATGACCTGTTGTATCAAGAACTAAGCTACTAACTCCTCCGTTAAAAGATACCTACGATTTGATAACGTATTAGTGAAGAAATGAAAGAAACCACAATGGTGGGCATAAACACTCTAAAGCATCAAGAAAAAGACTAGAAATTTTCCCTATCAAATGGCAATGAAAATATCACAAGTCAATTTCCATCTCTTCAACAAATAGTTTTAATCTGGTTTAATATGCCTCTCAAAAACAAAATCTGGTTCAATATGTTATTAACACAAAAGAAAATATTTTCAGACAAGCCCGAGGAAGTTACTGCATCCAGAGTCCACAGGAACAACAATCCCGAAGAAAGATAGAAAACTTGCTGGGGGCTAAAACCGAACACATTCCAGGCAGAAACACCTCCTACAACCGCAGCAAGCTGAAGGTTTCGTTCTATAGCGCCGAGAGTTGCGTCAACTGGTGACAGAAGAGACGTCGTTTCTATTCCATTCAGCTTTAGCTCATCCAAGGTGTAAAGTCTTTGGGGCACCTGGTATAATTTGTCAAATGGTAAAGAAACTAGAAGTAATTTGAAAAGATAATCCCACAAAAAATAAATAAATAAAAAGTGAAAGAGTTAACCAACCTGCCTAGCAGCACCAAAACAACGAAACCCACCAGGTTTGCCTTGCAAATCCTTTACGATTGAGAGTGCTGCTTTTTCATCTCCCTTGGTGAGCTCTTCATCCACTTTCTCCAATACTTTTCGTCTCGACACACTAACCTGCTCCGACGAACATTTGACTCTAAAAGAAGGAAATCTTAGTTGGGGAAAGTGTGATAAGCCCACATAATGAAGCATTTCGCTGAAATTTCAACGGACATTACCATTAATCTCTTAACAAAACCCCAACTCGCGAAGCTTGGATGTATGTTTGGGAGTTATATTCCGGTCGTTCTAAGCCACACATAGTGAGTAGATAAAGACAATAATTCTTAACGCCTACAGACACAGTTGAGTTTTATCGATGCCCGAATTTCACTCTTCAAGCGCGGCAAAAATTTTAGGTCCATTTAATTCGTTAATTTAAATTTTTAATTCGAGTTGAAATATGTTTTTATATAAAAGTTTTTTATTATAACAAAAAAAATAAATATAACTATTCTTAAAAGTTTTTAACAGTAACAAAACTCAAATTCTAAACTCAAAACGATGAAAACTCCGTTTATTTCACCAATTTGAATTTAAAATTCAAGTTTTGCTACAGTACAAAACTCTAAAAAATAATTACATCTAATTTTTTATTACAATAAAAAACTATCACATAAAATCACATATTAATACAAATTAAAAACTCAAATCAACGAACTAAACGAACCCGAAATGAACGACCTTTATATTTAAGTTTGACCCTTGACTTATTTCCAATAGTGTTAATATAAACGTAGGAGATTATTATATTCCAATTTTAAAAAGAATTTATAAGGAGCCGCAAATGAGTTCTAATTCAACATTAACCCCTTTTCACTCTGTTCATTTGCAACATAATAAGGCAAACCATATTCTTTAGGTCACGGCTTAGTCATCTTCTTAGCTTGGTCAAACCATAATATATTTTGCTTCTCTTCAACTAAATTTTGACATCAAAATTAAGAAAATAAGGGAAATCAAATGGAATAAACCCATCAAATAATATTATAAATAGATTGATTAGCAAAACGCTAACAAACCCGTTATCAAAATACAAGATAATTTGACAGAAGACAAAACACTAGGCAGAAAACAGAAGAATTCCCTCTACATTACACTGTAGTAATGACCAAAAAAAAAAAAAAACTAGGAAGCCCTAAAACTCTTGAGAAGCAGAACCGATATCGCCCTTCCCTTTGCCCACCTTCTTAGGCAAAAGTGTTTGGTGGATGTTTGGCAAAACTCCGCCACTGGCAATGGTCACAGACCCCAAAAGCTTGCTCAACTCCTCGTCGTTTTTCACCGCAAGCTGGATGTGCCTCGGCACTATGCGATTCTTCTTGTTATCTCTCGCGGCGTTCCCAGCAAGCTCCAATGTCTGAATATCGCAACCAACCATCAAAACCAATAACCAAAAGGAAAAACATGAACAAAAAGCAATAATCCATTTGAATCAAGAAACTCCCTAAGATCGAATAAACAATAATCCATTTCCAAAATACAATTTGCCAACACAGAGTCGCAAATATAAGGATTAAAAAAATCTTTTAAAAGACTTTGAATCAAATCAAATCAAATTTAAGATCGAAGAAACAATAATCGATTGCCAAACACATTTGCAAAATGGAAACGGGAAACCCTATACTGCCTCCACCGAACAAGATACTGAAATCGAATGCAAGAAAAAGAAATACCTCAGCGGCTAGGTATTCAAGAACAGCGGACAGATAAACCGGAGCTCCGCCGCCGACACGCTCGGCGTACTTCCCGACCTTCAGGAACCTGGCGATCCGACCCACCGGAAACTGGAGACCGGCCTTCGACGACCGCGACACGGACTTCGATGCCTTGGGCTTGCCTCTGCCGCCCTTCGTCGAACCAGCAACGGTCGAACTCATCTTTTCTCGATCAAAAGGAAACGATTTTCGCGAGATTAACGAAGAAAAAGACGAACCCCTAGATTTCTCGATAACAGAGACTTTTGCCGTGAGATGGAGAAGAAGACCGGATAACTCGTCTGTGAGGATGAAGAGGCGCTGAGATTATATTATATAGGTGGTGAGGGTGAACTCTCATTGGTCAAGACAGTACTCACAAGGATTGCCAGCGTGGCACACACTTTCCGATTCGCGGGAAAGTTTTTCATTTCGCTTTTTTTATTTTTCTATTTTTTTTGCTTTTTCTTTTTCTTTCCTATTTTCCGTTTCGCGGCTTTTCTTCAGAATTATTCTCACATAAAGGTGTGTGTCGGTTTTAGTCGGTTTAGTGACTGAACTGACTATTTCAATTTTTCAAAATCATGCACCGAAATCAAACCGCATAAGGGAATAGTCGTTCGGTTAACCGATTTCAGTTTTTAGTCAGTTTTTAATTTTGATAATCAGAAAGGTAACTCTTAATAAATCATTAAGTTATTAACATTTTTAGTTGTATTTTTTTATCAGAAAATTTAAAAAAATGTAAAACTTTCCTTCTATATAAATCTGTAATCACAATAAATGTATTGACTAATACTGTCGTAACTTAAACACGTGCTAATATAAGTAAATTTATTATTTACCTGAACTAAAATTGACATTATTTCATTAGGATAAGAGAATACAATCATTATTGTAGCTGTCTTCTTACGTACAGTATCTACAAGATAAACTAAAAAGATATCACAAAAGAACTATAAAAGAATTCAACCTCTTGTATGAAAATCGGTGAAAATATCAAGATCTGTAATTTCCTTGTACAAGGAAGCAAGGCCTCGAGCAACATTACTAGGAGTAGCTTGTGAACTATGGTCACCAAGAACCAATCTTGTATCTGCATTCATGACTTCCAAGTCAATAAACATTGGACGTGTTGCCACTTAATGTTGTATGGCACTAGTACCCCTGTTAAACGGCGTCACAAATTGAACCAAATTTCGATGAGAAAAAATGGGAGAGGTTCTTCAAATGATAGCAAGATTACATTGCAGCAATATCCGGTTTATCTCTAAAACATAGGATCATAAAATATTGCTTTAAGCGTGAACACACACACGCCAAACCAATATTGTGAAAACCGAATATTCACAAGCATAAGATGACTCAATTATCACCCTCTTCAATTTCCATGCCCTTCCCCTCCACTATTCCTAGAAAAGAGGACAAAGAAAAACGACAACATTAAAAAAAAAAAAAAAAAAAGATTCGGTCGGTTCAGTTTTTAACCGAACCTCTAAACCCAAAACTTAAACCAAACCGCCTACGAAAGAGTTCGGTCGGTTAACTGGACCGACTATCTTCGGTTCCACGTGGGGCCGTCTTTTCAGTTTTTGAGCGGTCTGTTTCAATTTTACGGTTTTTTTGTACGGTCATATTCTGACATTTCATGAACGACATTGTAATTAAAGGTGTGGTTAGTATAATGGAGGGATTGAGGGAGGGAGAGGGGAGAAGGGGGAGAGAAGAATTCCCTTGTTTAATTGGATGAATGTGTCACTCTCCAAAACAGGGGTTAGTGACGTGAAAGCTCGTTTAGAGATTAAACATGATTAAGGAAGTAATTAAACATTTGGAAATATAATAATCAAAACCAAAAGTAAAATATTAAGGGAATTTCTAAACAAGCCCCACATTTTTACTGAAATTAAATTACAAGAAAGTTATGGGGACTTTCACACTTTCTGATAAAAGAGGTTTAAAAACTGACCATCTGGCATCATTCAGGGCTTCACCCATAGGATATATAGTATTGTACATACATGAACATGTAAATAACACTTACAGACATCAACCATAGTCTTGGAACTTTAAGTTTTGAGTTTCAGAATTTACAATCCTTACATTTGTACACCAGGATGATGAACACAACCATCACTGTATCAGACGGTAGCAACTAACTCAGCTACTCATCGTTGTTCCTAGCGTCGCCTAGGAGGGGTTTAATATTTATAGAAACAAAATAAAACGTGAGCGGAAGGCCCAGTAGGATGTATTTTAAAATAAACTTTATAAACAAGTAAATACATAAATAGGCAAGTAAATAAAGATATTCAGCTCCAACACAACAGTTAGAACCTCACATCCTTTTTATGAAAGGAAATATAAACTGAAAATTTCGTATTACAGGCATTAACAAGTAATTTATACTATGATAAATTACTTACACAACCACAAGCACAAACCTTATCACCACCGTAGTGGCCCGGTCCGGGTTTCGGGTTCTGCCCCTAAGGATACGATCTCCATATCGGCATATCCTATCTAGGCCATAACCCGGCTTACCAGTTCGTAAGATATCTTATCTTAAGAAATTATTCATTAAAATTCTGAAATAGTTCATTATAATTCCAATAGTTAAAATCAAGCTATTGTGTTAAAATGCTCTTCTTTCGCAAACATGTCCTTTTTTTAAAACATTTACAAGGCCAAACTCTTTAAAACGGGCTGTCAAAGAAAAAAACAAGAAATCCTGCCTTTTATACACCAAAAATGTGGCTAGAGTTGCGCTATCCTAGCCTCCGCTTTCTCGAAGCCTTCATGTCGATTCTTCAACTATCATTTACATAAAACAGTGCTTTAGGATTTAATTCTCATTCCTAAAGCTAATCATTCTTAATTATACACTTCAATTTCCTATTAGTATGCTTTAATCCAATTTTAAGTTTTATAAATCGTTTTATGTTTCAAATCATCATTCTAAGGATTTTGATATCAAAATATAAATTAAAGATGTTAATCCTTCTACTTTAAGTTCCCAAATGAAGCTAATTTTGATTCTCTTTGAAAATTAGGGTCAAAACATCATTTTTAGCATAACAGGTTCAAATCACGGTACACCGATCAACCAGTGACAGAGAAGTTGTTCTTCACTGGTCGGCCGGTGAAGAGGAAACTGGTCGACCGGACCGGTCGGCCAGTGGGTGTTGAACAACTCAACCGACATGGCCGATCCGAAGAAAATCTTGCCAAAACCTACAAATTTGAGTTCAAATCTGAGATATTTTCAAAGGAATTCAACAAATTTAGGTTCCAGACAACAAATCAAGTCCAAAGAATCAAAAGTCCCCAATTTCCATCAGGATTTAACCAAAATCCATTTCGAACTAAAAATAGGTTTTTCTAAAGGAAAAATTTGAGATTCAAGAGAAGTTTTTCAGAAATCTTACCTTAAATCCTTCTCTTGACGTTGAAAACTCCTTGAAATTCTTCTTTGATTCAAGATTCGGAAGAAACAGTGACAATTTGAACAAGAGAGAGAGAGAGAGAGTGAAAGGAACGAGAGTGAGAGTGACGAGCTGAGAGAAATAAAAGAGGACAAAGAAAATAAAAAGGAAAAGGAAAAAGATAAACATCAAAGATATTTAGGAAAATAAACAGAAAAGGTGTCTACACACATTTCTAGGGTGAAAATATAAATAATTTACACATCAAAAACATTTAATGAACAAAATTATTTAATTAAACCAGATTATGCACACTAATAAATCTTAATTATCTTAATTAATCCTCTTTAATTTCTCGAGGTGTTACAGGATGAGAGAAGGGATATGAGATATGGAGGCAGAGAGTATCTCTTCAAGCCCACTAATTTAGATCATTTCATTAATTGAAGTATTCAACCAACCCATCTAATTTTAAAACTAAAAATATATTTTACACTTAAAAGAAATATTACCAACTAAATGAAATGAATAATATAGTAATTGGGCAAACAACTATCATCCATCCGTTCAACTCCCCCTCACTCATACTAAATAACATGAAGGATTACTATAATCCTCTCCATCCTTTCAACTTTTTTCATCATTCCTACTCTCCATCTCTCGTACCAAATGGAGCCTATGGAAATCTTTCGACTTGTATTGAGATCAAGGATGAAAATGTCCACTCCACAACAAATGTCAACACTTCCACGACATTATTCATATTTTTAAGTCTCGACATAGATACTCAAAGAAAGATATTCTTTATGACGTGTCCATAAAATGTCTGTAATATTTAAGAATATCGCAATATTTGTTAACATCCGCAAATATTCATTAGTTTGTAAATAATTTTTACTTTTTATTATGGAATCATAATCCATGTATAATTATGATAATTTTCTATTATACTATTCCACATAACTCTCATATTCTGATAAAAAAATGTATTATCTTTGTTATTAAATTTGTTCAAATTAAGTAATATTGATTGTATTTTTTAGCATTTTGTACACTTTCAACAAAAATTTTTAAAGTTTTATCAAGGTATCCCTTTTTTTAGAATTCGTCGACGTCGACATTTCCGTTGATATTATCTATAAATTAAAATCTCGACAACTCTATCGACATCGACGTTTTCGTCCTTGATTGAGATCAAGTTTCATCATTTTCTAGAAAAGAAAGATCAAGTTTCCGAAAAGGGATAAAATTATTTTGGTACCTTGTGTCATACTGAAACATGATTTTAGTACCTTTTATTTTTAATAATATTAAAATGTTATCTCGACATTTCATATTTTTTTTAAACACCTTATAGCTGATTTTTAAAATATAAAATGTCAAAATTGCCCTTCTTATTAACTTAACTAAATTGATTTTAAAAAATCGTATTAAAAAATCTAAAAAAAAAAGATAAAATAGAAATAATAAAAAACTTAAATTTAATATTGTTCATTAACTTGAGTTTGAGTTTAGGAACTTGAGTTCAGTTGGGCGCTTGAACTTAAATTTTAGCTCCAAACTCAAGTTCAAACTCGAGTTCAAACTCAAGTTCAAACTCAAGTTTTGTAAAAGAACATAAACTTAAATAAAGTTGTAACTTGAGTCTAAATTTTTTTTGAGTTATGTGTAAATCTTTCGTAGGTTCTGTCTTCCTTATGCAATCTGCAAAAATAGAAAAAATTAAGCGACTAAACAAAATCAACAAAAAAAAATGTAGGGTATGTTTATTTTACCATGTAAGTTAAGAAAGTTGCGTACGTTGGAGAAAAGAATCTTATACATTATGAAAGGCAAAACAAATAAGAACTTGAGTTAGGAAATTGAGTTAGGGGCTTGAGCATGCGATCTCGAGTCAATCCTTCGTAAAAGTAATCCTATACATTATAGATTGAGAGATAATGAGGCCCAAATCGAAGGCTCTATTAATCGCAAGACCCAATATAACTTGGGTTACAACTTACAAGGCCCAAAACAATCGGTGAAGAATAAAGATAGAAGAGACTAGAGGAGTGTGAAAAAGTGGAGGGACTAAAATGTAAAGAAAAATGTAGATGATGACAAAAAGGATTGGAAGAGAGAAGGAGAAAGGAAAACGGTGTTGAGTTTTGGGCCACACTTTATAATGTGATTTATAAAAAAAAAAAAAAAAGAGGATAAACCACAAAATTCCGAAAACTGTTTCCAAGTATTTGACCTTAGGCAAATGCTTCCAAAACCCACCAGTTGTGGCCTGAAACGACAATAGTGTGAAAGCTTTCCTCCTCAAATGCCCCAAGTAGACCAATTGATAGTTAAGTTTAAAGAAAGTGACTTGGGAACTTTATGCCAAGACCTTGTTCGGTTGGTTCATGACTTCCCGCTTATTGTTCACATTTCGTAGTACTACTTAAGTCTAACCCTTACTTGCAAAAAAAGAGATTTCTTGTGGGCTTATAATGGGGTCTCTAATAGGCCCCATTAAAATTCTCAGAGCCTATGGATATGAATTTTAATGTGGTATTTTTCATTAATACTATCTTAACTAATATAATTATTTCATATTTGACTAAAATAGATATTCATTTAAAATAAATGATTAAAAATTTAGACTCATTCACTTACTCATTGTATAAACATCACATGTTGGGTGTTGAATCAATAACAAAAATTTTATGTCTTTTTTGAATAAATAAAAGGAAAAAATTAGAGCATGGACAAACCCTATTTTCCATGTTTGTCTAATCTTAGGTCTCGTTTATTTCACAAATTTGAGTTTTACAACAGTAAAAAGCTCTCATAAAAAGTCACATCTAACTTTTCTATTACAGTGAAAAGCTCTCACATAAAATCACATATAACTTTTCTATTACATTGAAAAGCTCTCAAATAAAATATATATAACTTTCATACTACAGTAAAAAACTCTCACATAAAATAACATTTTAATTTGAATTAAAAACTCGACAAAAATGTTGGCGTAGAATATTGCTTCCCAAAAATTAATTGATGAAGAACAGGCAGAACAACATGGACAAAAATGTTGGCGTAGAATATTGCTTCCCACACCAAAAAATGTTCCACATATTATCTTTGATTTGCTTCATAATAATTCCCTTAATTTAATAATCCCATGTGGCAAGCCTTGTAGAATTCCGAAATTACCCTTTGTGGTCGGCATATCCTGCTCACCAGTACCACCAACAAGGCAGTAAACTGTCGATTGTTTAGCAGAATTTAATAAAATGATTACAAGGTTAGGGCTACAAGTGGGACAATACACCAATATAGATCATTACACGTATAAGATATTAATTATTGGTTACTAATTTAAATAGATCAACACTTCTTTTGATTTTTAATTTATCAACACTTTTAACTGAATGAATATTTCAAGAGTCTCCATTACAATGCTTTATTTATCTTTTGAAGAATGCAAGGCTTGCTTTGCATAAAGTAAAGATCATCTTTTTTTTCTGTAAAACATATAAATAGAAAATTGACATCTTACATTATTAGTTTCTTTTGTTATTTTTTATTTTCTTCCTGTAAAAGAGAAAAGATTGCCCTCTGCCCCAAACCCATCTGGCCAAAAAAAAAAAAAAAAAAAGAAAAAAGCCTCAGTCAAAGGGAATGGAAAACATGTATTTTTGAAAAATAAAAACAAAAGATAGAAAGCATGTATTTTTCGAAAAAGAAAAACAAAAAATTAGGAAAACGACTCACGTACGTACAAATTCTGTAAAATCAAAGGACATGTTCTTTTGTCAAAAAAACTTAAAAAAAGACAATCTGAGTTTTAATTTTATTTAAGTTCACGTTTTTTTAAATTTTAACTTTATTCAACTTTATTCAATTTTATTCAAGTTATAACTTTAACTTAAATTATAATTTAAATTTAACTCAAAAATTATACTCAAATTATACTCAAAAAAATAACCCCAAAGTGTCTTCTGTTTGCTTGACCCAATTCACACTGTTTCCAATCGAGCAATTTATTTAAGTTTATAAAAGGAACCAGCTGTTGCGTGTCTGCTTTATATCATGAGACATATGAGTGTGAACTAGTATTTGTACGTCTTTCCATGAAATATATATCTACTCATATACTCACTTTTCACTACGCCATGAAATATTAAATATATATATATAGTCAATAGTCATCTGGCCATTTTCTCAAAAATGAGTAATTGTTCTTTCAATTGTATTTTTTAAAAAGTTATAAAGATATTTTTAAATGTCATATCAATTATGTAAAACAACACGTAAAAATAACATAATGCAACAAAGATCGGAGAAGATATATTGATCGATGAAAATGTCCACAATATTGTTGATATTTTCACGACATTATTTATATTTTTTAGTCTTGATATGAATAACAGGGGAAATATATTTTTCTCGACGTGTCCATAAAATATCCACAATGTTCAAACATATTTGTAAAATCCGTGAATATTCGTAAATATTCAGGATATTTTTGAAAAATGCCCAAAAACACCGAGAACATTTTTTTTTGCACAAAAATTAATTTTGTAGCACATTTTTCTTATTTTTTAAATAAAATGCGACAACATGATTCAAATTAAAATCAATAAAAAATATTAAGGGTGTGTTCATTTACACAATTTAAGTTATGACTCAAGTCACATTGCTACAATATTTTCTCTCTCATAAATTCAAATTCAATTTTTTTGCTACAATGTTTTATTTTACATAAATTCAAATTTAATTTTTTTTGCTACAGTATTTTTCGATCACATACACAACCCAATTCACGATTTGAGTTGTGCAAATGAATACACCCTAAGACTTAATTAGTATTTAGAATAGTTTTCACCTTTTAAATGAATGATTCATATTCAGATACCTTTGAGTCCATTCACTTAGGAAGAAAATTTTACTCATGTTATACAAGACGAAGATGATGAATGTAGTGCAACAAGTCTTGGTACTGGGACAATTGAAACACAATTTATAAGAACACGTGGTGTGACTCAAATGGGTAATATTGATGAGAATCTTGTGGCCTTGAGTTTTGATTCCATGAGCTTCAGAACTGAACAAAGTTCATATGGTTATAATCATCCAAATAGTTCTTACATGAGATCTACTTCAGAAGTATAAGAGTAATATTTTAGCAAATGTATTGTTTAGATCAATATCAAAATCTACCTAATGCTTTTCAACGTGTTAAAAACTCATTTTGGTATTGAAATCACTTTGAGTCTGTGTGTGCTCTATTATGTTTGGTAGTTAATTTTTATGTAATATATTAAATTATTTTGCCTTGTTTGTATTAACTGTGTAAAATTATACTTAAATTATAATCTATATAAAATTATGATAAATTCCTATTACATAAATCTATTTTTTTGACAAAAATGTATTATTTTTGTTAAATTAGTCTAAATTAAGTAATATTAATTATTTTTAACATTTTTATAGTTTCAATAAAAAATTTTAAAATTTGTTCAAAATATCTAATTTTTTTTCAAAATATCCGTCAATATCAACATTTTTATGCACATTATCCATAAATCAAAACCTCAATGACTCATAGACATTTTTATCCATGAATATATATAAACTTCTAACAGTGCTAGAGTATTTGTAAGTAGGTCTTTCAAAGTATTATTTTATTTATTTATTTATTTCTTATATATGTACGTATATATGAGGAAAGAAAAAGGAAAAAAAAACCATTCTGCTGGCAGTTGCGTGGATAAGATCTACAGGAAAGTACCAAATTGTCATTTAACAGAGATATTTTGATTTTTTTTGTTTTTGTTTTTGTTTTTGTTTTTGTGAGAAGTGCCAACACCTCAAGGTCCTCAACACAACTGAGACCCTTTTGCCCTACGGGTGCCCCCTAGCCTCCCCCACTCCCAGTGCCAGAAAGCATTTATTGTACACTTCACTTTTAATTTAATTATATGGATATTTATATATATTTTTTGCTTTTTTTTTTTAATTATTTCGTCAATCCTGTCATGCACAATAAAAAAGAGAGAGAAAAAAAAGAAATAATTAATGAAGTTAAATATAATAGATAAGTGGGTCCCAGTGAACAGTGTTTTCTTTCGGCCGATCACTTTGTCCGCTCTATCGTCCTTTGTTCATCCCCTTCTCTCGCACTTTAGCCTTTTGTCCTCTCTCTCTCTCTCTCTCTCTATCTCTATCTCTCTCTGTGTACCGTACGCCTCCTCTCTTCTTATCATTCGCACCCCCTCCCTCTCGCTCTCTCTCTCTCTCTCTCGCTCTCTCGCTCTCTCGCTCGCTCTGTTTTATCATTACACGGGGGATTTTCCCATTACCGCCTAGATTTGGGGAGAACAAGAAGGAAGGAAATCCTGGAGATCAGGAGCAATGGGTTTGTAATAGAAAGAAAGCCAGTGATCTTGTAATGTTACGATGGCTCAGATGTTGTGGGTTTGTTCGCTTGGTTTCGTGGTTTTGTTGAATACGTAAGGAACTTTCTGGAAGTGGGGTTTTTTTTTTTTTTTGAGGATCTTGCGTGGTGGGTTTTCTTTTGTGGTTGTTGGATTTTCTGAGACCGGGTTTTAATGGCTGGGAGTCATGAAGTCAACCTCAATGAGTCCAAGGTATCAGCTCTTCAGCTCTTGCTCTTGTTCTGTTCCAATTCGTTTTCTTGTGTTGGTTATTTGACTTGTTTCTTTTTGTTTTGCGGATTTTTTTGTCTTGAATTATGAAGCTTTGTTTTTGTTGCTGATTTTGGTTTGTGGAGGAGGGGGTTTGGTTTTTCATGTTGATTTAGTATTGCGTGTGTTTTACTCTTCTGGGTTTTTAAGGATTTTGGGTTCTGGTTTTTTGATTTAGGTTGTTAAAAGTTCAAATATATATATTTTTTTTCTATTTTGGGGCTCAGTTTACGTTTAGGGCAGTTTTAGTTTGGATTCTGTTTTCTACTGTGTGTACTCTTCGTCTTGGTTTAAGCCTGTGGTTTGGTTTTTTTTTTTTTTTTGTTATTTATTTATTTTTTAAGTGCTTGTGATTTAGTTACCGTTGACTTTGATAGATTTTTCTTTTTCTTAGCTTTTGTTTTGCAGGCTGCTTGGTTGTTTGATTGGATTGGATGATCAAATCTAGGGTTTTGTCAGAAGTCCTGATTTTGACTTTGTTGACTATGTTTGATTTTGATTATCTTTTGGGGTTGGTAATTACATTCCTATTCTGAACATTACTCAGCTTTGTCTTTGTTGTTCTAGTGATTATATGTCTTCTTCACTTGTTTGTGCCTTGTTAGATTTGTTGTGTATTGTTGCTCCAGGCAATAAATTGGTTTTCGATATGCAAGAGCAATCACTGCGTGTTGTTGTTTGCAATTTTAGAGATCTTCTCCCAAGTCTACGTTATAGTTTCCTGAAATTGCTGCCTTTTACAGCAGGTGGTTCCGCTGAATACATGGGTCTTGATCTCGAATTTCAAGCTGGCTTACAATCTTCTTCGTCGTCCCGATGGTACTTTCAACCGCCACTTGGCAGAATTTCTTGACCGAAAAGTTCCGGCAAATGCACACGCAGTTGATGGGGTTTACTCTTTTGATGTCATCATTGACCGTGAAACTAGCCTTCTTAGCAGAATATATCGTCCAGCTAATGGAGACGAACCTCGTTCAAACATCGTTGATCTTGAGAAGCCTGTGAGCTCTGAGGTTGTCCCTGTAATAATCTTCTTTCATGGTGGAAGCTTCGCCCACTCCTCTGCAAATAGCGCTATATATGATACTCTATGCCGCCGATTAGTGGGAATCTGCAAGGCTGTGGTCATCTCAGTAAATTATCGTCGTGCACCCGAAAATCGGTATCCATGTGCCTATGATGATGGATGGGCTGCTCTCAATTGGGTGAACTCAAGATCATGGCTTCAAAGCAAAAATGACTCAAAGGTTCATATATATTTGGCCGGTGACAGCTCCGGTGGAAACATTGTGCACAATGTCGCTTTAAGAGCAGTGGAATGTGGAATCGAAGTATTAGGGAACATCCTGCTCAATCCAATGTTTAGTGGGCAAGTGAGGACTGAATCTGAGAGACGGTTAGATGGGAAATATTTTGTTACCCTCCTCGACCGAGACTGGTACTGGAGAGCTTTTCTCCCTGAGGGCGAAGACAGGGACCATCCGGCGTGCAACCCATTTGGTCCAAGGGGTAAGAGCCTGGAAGGACTCAAGTTTCCCAAGAGCCTTGTTGTGGTGGCTGGTTTGGATCTTATTCAGGACTGGCAATTGGCTTATGTTAAAGCGCTTGAGAAAGTTTATCAAGAAGTGAAACTTCTATATCTGGAGAAGGCAACAATTGGGTTCTACTTGTTGCCCAACACCGAACACTTCTATACCGTGATGGATGAGATAAGTAACTTTGTGAGTTCTGACTGTGAATAGAATTTGACTTTACCAATACCAACAGGCAGCCATACATAATAGAAGCTTGACATTCGGCCCGGGGTAATTAAGGATTGCTTGATAGTTTGTAAGGTTGTGTAGTAATACTCTACTTACTGTTCGCTGTTGTATTGATTTGCCGTGGTATATATTTAGATCCTTCAACGCTGGAGTTTGGTCCTTGGTTGTTGGATATATTATATACAGAAGGGTATTAGTTCTGCATGTAGCTGGATTGGGATGCCTTTCTGTTGGTGGAAAATCTAAAATTTCTGGATTTGGGTTGAAGCTTAAGTTGCAGCAAGTGCTGTTTGACTAAGTTAGCAAGTTCCAACGGAGACTGAGATTACCCATTTATTGACTTTTGGCCACAAAGAAAAAGAGGATCTTGATACTGTGGGGGTTATAACATTTGGTTGTTGATCGACCTGCTTGGTGCCTGGCTAATGATATATATATATATATATATAGAATATATATATATATAGCTAATCTCGAGACATGGATGTTAAAAACATCCATGGTATTGTAATCTTGTTATGTTTATAGATATATGCCTTAGATTATATAAAATGTTTGCTTGTTGGGTATGGCCTTTTGTAGTTGAATTTTCCTCTGTTTTCTTTTTGTATGGTTCGTGTTTTGACAAGTCTACTTGGCAACTGTAAATGAAAGATATTTTATATTTACACTTTTGTTTTAAATAATTTTCTTGCCTATTATCCTTTGGATGTTTGTATGGTCAGCAAGAGCGAAAGTTGGTTTTTTGTACCTTCTAAAAGGAGTTTATTGGGACGACAAGAGTTGGAATAAGAGCCGCCACGACACAGCCGAAAGTCATTCAAGCATTTTTGTTCTTGTGCGTAATCCTCCAATAGATCCATTGTGCGGTCTCAAGGATTATGGTTGTTTATGTCTTTGCTGAACATAGTTGTATACTCATCAATGGAGCTCAAGTTGTAGCTCCTCAATTGTGCTTATAAGGTTTTGGAATATTCGACCAAAAGGACATTTTTTTTTAGAACCAAAATTCCCTAGATTAAGTTAAAGTATAGATTTTGACATGCCAAAACTGGGAGTGGGATGTGTTGTTTTGGAACTTAGATGCTAGGGATAATGACATTTCATAGATAAATCCTAAAAATCGTTGGATGCAATCTTAAACACTAGAATGGAAATGAGAATCCAGTACAAGAGAATTGATGATTGGAAGCAACTTAGAATGGTCCATTTTTGTTGTTGATCGAGATTGATCTTGGTCACTCTTGTCAGTTGTTAAATCCTTGTTCTAAGAAAGAAGTATACGAGTAAGCTTGGGGCTTGGCACGACAGGAGTCCCCCCTCAAAAAATTAAAGCAAAAAAGGCAAAAAAAAAAAAAAAAAAAAAAAAAAAAAAAGGGTCTGTTTCGAAGGGGAAAAAGTTAATAGTGGTGGTTGGAATTTGGTTGTTTTTGTGGGATCACATGAGGATCACACAGCCATTATAGGCTAGGCAAGTTGCTTTCACAATGATTTAATAAATTCACTACAATGGTAAGGAACAGCTAAGCTTTTGAAAAGGACATGTAAAAACTCTGTTTTGTTAAGTCCTCTTTTGAGTCTTGAAAATTCTAATATATGTTAACAAAAAGATCCTACAAATGCGTCGTGACCCAATTCCCATATTCGTACATTTATTACACTATTATTGGTGTTTTGTATTTATGTTTCCTTTTATCAACAAATCACATTGAATTCAACCCACACGTTGCATCTAGTGATTGGGAAGAGATGCCCCTAATAACCATGGGTAATGGTTTAGGTACTTGTTCCATTTTAGAAAACAAAAAAAAAAAATTAATTTTTTATTTTTACTTCTTACAAACTCTGTCCATACTAACTATTTCATATTTTTAATCAAAATAACTAATGATTTAGTTAGAATTCAACTTTTTTCTACTTCAACTATTAGTTAAATAATTAGCTATTTTAGATAATTCACTTCACACTAGCTAAATATAGCTAGCATTAGAACATCTCTAAAGAAACTCTGTAAATTTTAACTAAATTCTAATTAAAATAGCAAAAAAACTACTTTAGCTGACAACTTTTTAATGAGTGACTCGAACCATACTTTTTATTTTAACTAAACATAAATTATTTTAATGTTTACTGAACTTAAAATATGAATATCTTTATTTAATTTTAAAAAGAAACTTTGTATTTATTGTGTTTACAAGAATAAAATAATATAAAAAAATAAAATGGCTATCAACTCCATGCTAATTATATTTAGCTAGTGTGAAACATTCTCTTAAATAACTAACCATTTAGCTAATGGTTGGAGTGGAGAAAAGTTAAATTTTAGCTAAATCATTAGCTGTTTTAACTGAAAACATGAAATAACTAGCATTATTAGAGTTGCTCTTATTTAACTAGCATAGAGAGGCTAACCATTTTATTTTTTGTATTATTTTATTCTCGCAACCATAATAAATGTAAAGATTTTTTCTTAAGTTCAATAAAATTATTTATATTTTAAATTCAATAAATATTAAAATAATCCATATTTAACTAGTTAATCACCCAAAAATTACTAATTAAAATAACTTTATAGCCATTTTAGTTAAAATTTAACTAAAATTTAGGAATTTCCTTTGGAGATCCTCTAAGTAACCTATCACGCTGTATATATTATCTTTTAAAAAGATACCGCCGTAGCAATAGCTTGTTCTGTTATTATTTTCAGTTTAATGCTCCAAACACTGTATAGATCTTGCAATTAGCTTGTGATGCATTAATAACCATAATCCGATAAATGACGATATCAACAAAATAAGACTGTATTTCCTGTACGTTTCAATCATAGTTTTGAACACATCAAAAGCATATAAAGAACATACGGCCAACTCCAAGAGCAACAATGCAATCAAAATAAAAAATAGAGTAAAAAAGTAAAGGAAAGAGAACAAGCTAGCTTCATCAAGAATTCTGAAATCTGCATATTTCAGAATTCAAAAACTACACCGAACAGATAGTTTTTAGGCTTATATAACAAAAAAAAAAAAAAGGCCCGTCAGTACATCCTTTGGAGATTATAATCCGGTAACAAAGACATTATTTTCGAAATTAACTAGCTCTTAAAAGGACCAAACAGCATCATTGTGTCATCAAGCAGACCTTGATTACTTGCACCAAAAGCAACTAAAATTGAGTCATAGTACCAAAAATTGATTAGTGAACCAAGCCCCACTCAACGTGCCTTGGCAACATATGCAACAGAAGCTGCGGCGAAAATGGTTATTGCTGATGAGACCAAGGCCCAAAAGCTTTTCTTCTTGTGTGCCTCTGCCTCGGCGCGCTTCAACGACTCCACTTGTTTCTTCATGTCTTCCACCGCCTTCTCCTTGTTCCTGAAAGCATTTTGGATAGCTTCCAACTCCGAAACGTACGGCTGAACCTCTTCTTCTAGCTTCTCTTCATTGTTGACCAATTCTCTCTTGCCATGTTCCGATTGAGAAGACGAAATCATTGATGCGGTTGTCTTCAACATTGCTAGCGCCTTCTCGTAGTTGCCCCCTGCTGATTCCACTTTGGCTTTCCATTCCTCCATTCTGCTCTTCGCCTCAAGAAGGCTCTTCTGCGCCGAATCTCTTTCCTTCACCAATGATCCCAACCGGCCCTCAGCTGTTTTAGCATTGTCAAGCAGGCTCTTGCGCTCGTCCTTCAAACCGCGCAACTCCACTGTGAATTCTTGAACCCTTTTCTCCTTTTCAGAGATAACCAACTTCAAGTGTACCGCATTCTTCCTTTCCTCGTTAAAAGCCTTTTGAGCCTCATTCCTCTCAAGAGTGACCCGGTCAAAAGTATCCTTGTAGTGACCTACTTCAGAGAGCAGTTGCTTGTTGTTTTCCTCATAATCTCTGCACGAGTTTCGCAATGCGAACAGAGCGTCCCTTAGGTCGCCTACTTCGTTATGCAACGCAACAATTTCACTCTCTTGATTAGCTTTCCCCTCCTCAATCTCGCTCTTCTTTCGAATTAGCTCTTCGATCCTTAGCTCCTTATCATTTGCTTCCATAGTAGTCATCTTCAAAGCCAACTCTACTACATATAACTGCGAATGCAACTTCTCAATACTCTTTTCCTTCTCTTCCTTCAATGACTTAACCTCCCTCTCCATCTCCTTCATTCCCTCACTAATAAAACTCTCCGTCACCGAAATCTTCGCTCGCATCACTTCCACCTCTCGCAGTAAATCCAAGACAATCTCATTCTTTTGCCCCACTTCCTTTTCCAACACACCAATTTGTACTTCAAGCTCTCCTTTAATCCGCTCAGCTTCACTCTTCTCACTCGAAATCTTTTCTCTCTCGCTCTGTAACTTCTCCACCAGTCTATTCGACTCCGCCAACTTCCTCTCAGCCCCCTTCCTTCCATCACCAACAGCCTTCTCCAACCCCAAAATCTTCCCTCGCAACACTCCGACCTCGCCTCTCAAACCCGACACAATCCCATTCTTCTCCCCCACTTCCTTCTCCAACGCACCAATTTGTTGCGCCAATCCACTTCTAATTCTCTCAGCCTCATTCTTCTCGCTCGAAATCTTCACATTCTCGCTCTTCAACTTCTCAACCAATCTCTCCGACTCCACCAAATTCCTCTCAGCCAAAACCTTCTCCTTCTTCAGCCCCTCAACAGCTCCTTTTCTCTCCTCCTTCTCCTTCAAAATTCCTTCACATTGCGCTCTCAGTTTCTCAACTTCCTCCTTCACCAACCTCTCTCTTTTCTCCGTTTCCCTCACTTTCTCCCTCAACCCATTTGCCTCCGAAACCAGACCATCAAAATCCCTCCTCAGAACATCCCTCTCCTCACAAACCCTAACCAACTTTTCCCTCTCATTTTCAATACAACCCAAGAGCTCCCTCACTTCCCTCTTCAGAGACCCAATCTCAAATTCTCTCTCTCTTATCTGGGCCTCCACGTAAACACCAAACACGCCCTTCTCCAGCTCCAACCCAACACTCTCCTCACTCGCCCGAGTCAACTCAGCCGACAGAACCTTCTTCTCAAGACCGGCCCGAGTCAACTCGGCGTCGAGAGACTCCTTGGCTTTGACCAAGGAATCAATCTGTTGCCTGCCCTCGAACGTCTCCTTGAGAAGGCGGGCGTTGAGGGACTTGAGGCTCTGGAGCTTCTCCGAAGAGTCGTCCATGGCGACGGCTATGGCGGCGGCGGCGGAATCGGTGGTGACTCTGTTCTGTGGGTTTTGAGGAGCTTCTTCTTGCGGTTTGGGTTGTTGTTGTTGTTGTTGGTGGTGGTGGTGGTCTTTGGATTGGTGGGTCACTTTCTTTTTGGCCATTTTCTGAGTCTGTGTGGACTGTGGCGATGGAAAATTTTGGGGATATTCAAGATTTGAGGATTAGGGTTTTGCTAGAATCTTTATGTTGTGGTTGTGGAAATGAGAGAGGCAAATAAGCAAAGAGATGGGGACTTTTAGAGAGAGACATCTGTTTTTGGGGGGATGGGCCGCTATTCTTGAGGATTCAAATTTTGGGGCCCAGAGTTTGGTGCTTTTCTGAAATTTGGAGAAAGTTTGTGGATCCTACTATAAACTTGGCAATTTATCCGGCTGTCAGATTGAATTAAGTGTTGATCTATCGACTATAATAATTGTGAAGTGCTTTTAGAACTCATTATAAAATAATTTTATTTATTATATAAAAATAAAAATAAAAATATTTTTAATTTTAAATATAAATAATTTTTAAAAATGTGTTTGATAATTTTATTAAGAGATTATTTTTAGTATCAAAAAATTTATTAATATCTCTATTTTTTTCTCTAGTCGAGAGAAGAGAAAATGAAAATAAAAAATGAACATTTCTCTTTTATTTTACACTAAATTAAAAAATTATTTTTATTTTTATTTTTTTATCTTTATTATACTAAACGTTTTTTTAAACGTAAAAAATAAAAAGTGGATCAATTTCAAACACGATAAACACCATGTAGACATCTGTCATGTGTCTGTCATTTCTTTGTGTCCTTTTTCATATTCGTTGTCGTTTTCAACGTTCTATGACGTTGTTGGCATTTTGTATATTTATTATCTTGTCATTAAGACACGGTCGTTTCGTGAAGTTATTCTGAAAAAAAATTTTGGGATTCAGGATGCCAAATTGGGAAATTTGATGGGCCAAATTTAGGGTTATGGCCAGTGTAATCAGTCAGGTTATGGCCAGAGACTTGTCAGTGGCCAGTGTAATCTGTCAAGTTATGGATCATAACCTGCTAGGTTATGGCCGGCTGGAGACCAGTCGATGGGGATCTCCGGCCGGTGACGGGAGACTGCCAGCATATCTTATAATTTACCAATGGACCATCATTGTGGATAACTTTAGAATTTTAAAAATGTTTAATTTAACTATTTTCATTATTTTAATTGTAAAAAGATAGAAATCAATGAGCTAATCTTTAGGGATTAAAAATATAGTGGGGTACCTATTTGAGGGGTTAGAAATTCAGTATATGCTATCGTTTTCATACGTAATTGTAATTAATTTATGGGTTATAATTTGATTTTTAGTCCTTAAAAATACTCGTAAAGGTGTAAGTTTGGGCCGTCTGGTCTTGGCCTAGCTATCCAAATAGAAATTGCAGGCCGACTCGGCCCGAATCTAAACCTAAAAAGTTTAGGGCCGGCCTAGCTCAGCTCGGAATTTTTATAAGGTATTTAAAAAAAACTTTAAAAAATATGATGTTTGGGCTAAGCTAGCCCAACCTTAAAGGAGATAAAGTTGGCTCAGCCTAATCCTAAGACCAAAAAATTTAGGGTAAAGTTGGGCCGAGTTTGAGCAAATAATAATGGGTCTCAAACCGGTCTGTTTAACCTGATTCAAACTTGCAGTTATGAATACTCCTCATCTTATGTTTTTCCCTAAATTTTTAAGTGTCATATCCCTGATATCTAAGCTTTGTAAATGTCACACTAACGGCCCCTCTTTAAAAAATGGACAGAATGCTTTATAACTTTGTTTGTGTTAATCAACTGCATGCATGCCATTCTATTCATGGTTTATTCTTCTTAAAAATTACGTGTGACATATATATTAATATGTTAAAAGTACGGCTAGACAAAATTAAAATGTTGATTAATGTAAATATTTCCACATCATTCGAGATATCGATCCAGAAAGAAATTTTAAGGTGCAATTTTTGGGTTAAATTTTACTTGCTTTTTTTTTATCCCTCCTTAAATTCATGTGTTTCAAACAGAAAAAATCTGCCATTTGCAAGAGTCAATTAGACATGTAATTATTTATTCATAGTCTTCTCTCCCCTATATGTAAACAACGTAGACCATCATGGATAATATCTCTCTTAATCATAGATGGTTTCTCTTGTTGTGGTCTTTTTGCGTATAATATCCAAGGTATTGTGTTTTCTTTTTTCCCAGAACCAATCACTATAAATATTATATATATATATATATTTGTATTGTGTTAATGGTTACTCTAATATTTATCCATCAATAAATATTATTATTTTAACCGCAATACATTAATTTGAAGGTTTAATAAATTAATTATAGTTAACTAAAAAAAATAATGACAAATAATGAAAGCCACGTCATTATATTTCTATGGGCCTATTTGTTTTATATACTCAAAATCAAATCATCGATCTGCTATAATATTTTTCTCTCATAAAAAATTTAAATTTCAAACTTCATAATCAAAAATCATAATTTGAGTATACCTTCTAATAAACAGACCTTATATTTAGAAGTGAGTAATCATTAAAAACTCGTCTATATATTTATATATAGATATATATTCTCAACTTCACGCGTTGCATTATAATATCCAATGTTTGTTTCATCCAAGGACCAATCTTCATTTCTATAAATCGTTATCATTATATAATCTGCCATTTTATAAGACATCAAGTGTGGGCTGGCAGCTTTGAAAAATACATAAACGTAGCTTGAAGTATTTCAGTGAGAAGAAAAAGAGCAAATATTACAGTTGAAGTAAGGTAAAATTTTCAGTTCGAGTCCGTTCTGATAATATTGCATTTCCTATATTAAATTGGTGTTATATGTCTCGTTACGCTCTCATGTCGTATATAGTATCATTATTCTTATTATGTTTTTGGAAGAAAATGTCACACTTCTTCTTGACCTTACTTGGCGAGGTTTTTTATTTATTTTATTTATTTTTTTATTTTCACTAGTTATTGAATCGATTTACTTCTTTGCACGATATGTATAAAAATCTAACATCTTCTTTGAATATATATTTTTCCATTTATCCACAAGTACCGTTCATTATATTTTTAACCATAAATTAGCAGTATTTTTCATTAAGAGTCAAACCTGATCATCTGTTTGTTATTTTGTTAACCTGATCATGAGTTTCTGCAAAACAAGACCCGAATTTGATCTTCAGGTTCTTAATTTTGTTATATCACTTTAATTTATTTACAAAAAACAATACAAAAAAAAAATTCTAATATTTGTAAAGTAACTGTTACAATTAATTAAGAGCAGCACTAATCTATAACCAGATACGTATATAATATATTTAATGTAGGCAATTACAATTAACACAAATGGATGGAGTGATGGTGGGCATGCTGTTAATCATGCGTACGACATTCTGTTCATGATGGGCCGTGATGACATTCCGGTTGGTGTTGGTGGTGAAGGTGGCATTTTGCCTAATTCTACCATCCTTCCAAATTTTGGTGGATTTCTTCCCATTATTGACCAGGTCTTTCTCTCTACTGGAAAAGAAAAAAAAAACTTGATAATGCATTTTCTATATTGTTTAGTCTTTACAATTTATTTATTTATTTATTCTGTTGAAATAAAATTTGGAAGGCGACATATGTGTATTTAAACATGCATACAAGCATATACACGTATTTCACCTTTTGATATGTGATTTTTTTTATTGAATTTCTGTTTTTTCAATCAAATAGTTGTGTGTGCAACGAATTTATGCGTAGATATAAAATCAGAAACGTGTCGCTGTTGTAAACACTTTTGGCCTTGTTTGGTTTGAAAACTTGTTATAAATTGATGTGAGATGTTCAATATCTTGTAGAATGTGTTCAAATAACTTCACTTTCGATGGCGGCTTCCGTATTATTTATTGTTTATTTTTTTTTTTCTTTTAGAAAGGAACTTCCATATTTGTTGTTAGTAATTACTAGAAATCCTCATTTATATGCATTAAAAAAGAATAATTCTAGATACACTAATTTAAATTTAGATTTTTATGTATCATTTAATGTGATATGTAAGTTATTATTTTTTTATTAATGAGTATTTAAAACATTACAATGTTAATTAATAAAAGTGATTGTATCTATTAATAAAAAGATAATAACTCACGTATCATATTAATAAATACATAAAAATTGAGGTTCCGTTTATTTTACCGATTCAATTTTAAAATTTGAGTTTTGTTACAGTAAAAAGTACTCAGAAACAGTCACATTTAACTTTTTTACTATAATAAAAAAATATTTATATAAAATTATATTTCAATTCAAATTAAAAACTCAAATCAATCGAGATTTGAGTTTATATAGGGACATTACTCTTAAAAAAAATCTGGCCAATTTGTTGTCGTTTCTTGACATGGGACGCAACGGTCGTTTAGATAGCGACACAAACTTTGGCTTGCGCAGAGCTCTACTTCCACAGGTAACCAATATGAGTATATAGGCTCCGTTTGGTAGAGATTTTAAAAAGTCAAAATCATTTTTTTTTAACTGAAGCTAAAAAATGTGTTTGGTAAACACGTAAAAATGGCACTGAGCCACAGGGTGTCGAAGCTTCTGCAAGTGGAAATGATTCAGGTGGGCCTGATGCAAGTGGAAATGATCCAGATTCCCTTTGGTGATCAAATACATATTTGACCCTTTGTCCTGTACCTAACACTCCCCAATAGAAATTAGTCAACTCTCACATTTACATGTTTACGTGTTTTGTTTGATTCTTCTGATTCATACATACAGAATCGAAGGAACTAATAAGAAGGCAGAGTCCTATAAAATATTATAGTGCTCTCATTGTTATGGTCTCTGTAGATGGAGCGGAATGACATAATCTTTTAAAAAAAGGCGTTGGAGTCAATTGATATTTTTAAGAAGGTAAAGTTTTATGCATTGTTATGGGCTGTTTTAGGGTTTCCGTTTACTTTAATCATTTTGAATTGAAAAGATGTAATAGAGAATTGATTTGAAATACTGATTATGTGTTTATCTTACTTTTTTTGTATGTTAGTCAGTTTTTCACACCTGACCATTTTTGTTTTTTTTTGGTTTGAGGATACCTTTGTCATTTGCCCTTGTTATTGAATTTTATCAATAAAGTTTTTATTATAAAAAAAATAAGCACGTAAAAAAATAGTAAAATGTGCCATAAAACAATACTTCATATATTTATTTCTTTTTGCTTAAACAATCCA